CCTCATTATACCTCTATTATTTTCCTAGTGCAACAGTTTTTAGATTTCTGTTCATCTTTCAGCTCAAATGTAAGCTATGTTTCAGTTATTGTTCATTGCAGCAAAGATGTTTGCTTTATTGAAGCCCAATCTGAGTTTAGTTGGCACTGACTGCTCTCCATACATCTCCTTTCAGATCATGTGTAAAGTTGTCACCATGCTGAGCAAAGACACAGTGGAGCATCTACTGCTGCCCCGCTTCTGTGACCTGTGCAGTGACGCCAGACTCTTTCAAGTCCGCAAGGTAAAAAACTCATTTTTCCTCCCCAGAGGTCAAGATACCCTAGAGCACTTTTTTAAATTGCCTCTGACTTTGATACCATAAGTCACAGATAAACAACATTTTTTCCACAGAGAGGTGAATTGTGTCAGAATACATTCAGAAACAATGTGAGGGAGCCCTAATTCTGTTTTTGCCCACACTGCGCTTTTATTTTCTGTGAGGAATGTTAATTCTCTGGTGTAACTGGTGCCAGTTGGGAAAGTGTATTTAGAAACAGCAAAGGCAGGTAAACATTGTGAATCATTTTTTATATATTTTTTTTTACACATTTTTAGTATTTTTCTATAGTACAGTTAGAAATCCTCCTTTTCTTTGACACTTAACTTTGATGGTCGTACATTTTTACAAAAAAAAACTACAAATCCTGCATACAATGCAGAAATACAGTTTGTCTGAAATCATACCATCAAACATCAAACCAAAAAAACAATGAACCGTGTGGCTTTGGGACCAGAGCGTTAGGCAGTGTGGATAATAGCAAAACATATTCTAAGAAATACTGAGTGATTAAGCTGGATAAGATTTAGCAAAGTGACCAGTTTATGTTATGATCATTTATTACAATTGAATAATTGCGGTCTTCTTATGTGACACCATGAAAGTGTGTAACCTCTCATTGAGATGGTTTGTTGTTCATGGTTTAACATTTGTCTTTTCCTTGCTTATCATTGCAATGTTTGAATTGTGTATTACAGGTCTGTGCTGCCAATTTTGGAGAATTTTGTTCTATTGTTGGTCAGGAGGCCACAGAAAAACTACTGGTGAGAAGCTCCAAGACCCCCTATTAACATCTTCATTATATAACATTACAGATTCAAATGTAAGATTTTCAGGTGAAACTGACATTTTGTTAAATTCTGTCAGATGCCCAAGTTCTTTGATCTGTGCTCGGACAGTCTGTGGGGCATAAGAAAAGCCTGTGCAGAGTGCTTCATGATGGTCTCCAATTCTACCTCTCCAGAGGTGCGACGTGCAAAGTTGTCCCCCCTGTTCATTAGCCTCATCAGTGACCAGTCTCGCTGGGTAAGACACACACACACACACACACACATACACATACACATACACATACACACATACACACATACACACACACGTTCAATTCTGTTGCAGAAAAGCACCAGTGCATTTTTGTGTAACTTCCTCTGTCTGATGATGAAAATGGAGCAGTTTTTCCTCATCACTTTATGCATCCTCTTGTTCCTGATTTTGAGCTATGTCCTTGATCTCATTTAGAATACATTTCTTCGTTTTCTTTTTCCTAATGTTCAGTATAATGTAGAACATTCTTAAAAGTCATACAGAGAAGAAAAAAATTGTTGAAAGTGTTAAGCAATTGATAGGACATGGAACATCTCTTTAAAAGTCACAGCGCCTCATCTGCAATTTTTGTGTAGTTTTAAAATGTTCTGCAAAAATGATTCACAACGATTCAAATACTAGCATTTACCCATACATTTATGATGGAGAGTTTGCAGAGATAAACATGTGTGGTCTTGTCTGTGTACGTTGCACAAATGTGCTTGAGGCCAATGTGTCGACTGAGGGGTGAGAGTCCGCTGTGCCAGAAGCCTGTCAATGCCTGTCAGTTCTTGCAGAGATTACTCTTTCTTTTTTTACCGAAGAGGGCCGGGTTTGGCTTGAATTCATTTCATTCTCCTTTTATTATGTCTATGAATACCTCTGCGTCACGGAGAACACACAAGATAATGACACTTGCAAACTTCAGATGTTTTCTTGGGACATTTGTGTATTTATGTTTAGAACAACAGATTGATATATTGCTATTTTATATATACAATATAAAGAAAGAAAAATAGACTGACCACCAAACCAAGTTGGCTAGGGGCACACCAAACATTCATTCCCATGGTTATGCAACTGGGTCGCAGAGTGACGCTCAACACAGTAACTTTATTCATTTTAATTTCTTTAATCTAAGTTTTGATGAAACTGACTGATTCCCCTCTGCTTCACTTTTAGGTGCGACAGGCTGCCTTTCAGTCTCTGGGACGTTTTATCTCCACCTTTGCCAATCCCTCCAGCACAGGCTTTCACTTCAGAGAGGACGGCGCCCTGCTAGAGCTCCCCAGGTGTACATTAGACAGGTAAAACCCCTCCCCTTCATCACCACTGCAACAACCAACAATGTGGGTTTGCTACAGTGAATGGTGTACATAAGCAGCTCAAACTCTGTCAGAAATGTTATTGTCATTCCATGAATACATTTTATTATATATGCTAAGGCACTGCGCACGTTTGTGTTGTGCTCTGACACAGTTTAAAACGTTGCACCATCCATCCGATGAGTCATTTTCTTCAATGACTGGGTTTGATCAGGTCAGACCAGTTTTTTTTTTATGTTTAAAGGTTTATTTCCCTAAGCATGGAAATGAAAACAATTGAGGTTGACACCAATATACATTTTTATAACAAAATCTATGGCTTAATACGTCATCAAGAAACCCTGTTTCCAAACTTAAGATAAGAAGGTGACGAGTAAACACAGATTCTGCGAGCAGCTCAGAATGAGCACAGTCAGCAGTGCTGGGGAACATACAGAAACACAATGTTCTTTGTCAATATACCCTGATTACTAAAAATACAAACATCAATAGTTTTGGCATCTTTGACAAAGATGAGACTCAAATGATTAGACTTTGACACTTTTAACTAAAACTTGACAAAACATTTATAAAATATGATTTTTTTTTTCTTTCTAACACCAGATAAATGCTAGTTAACAGATTATTCACAGATTATTCTGAACACACTTGACCGAGAACCTTATCCATCTTCATAGTGGTACTTAATCATTTGATTTGGCTTAAGTAATAATGCCAGGGCTTACCATTGGCAAAGTATTAGCTCTGTTCTTTACTTCTATATTTAATATAAGGATTTAGAGCAGGGGTCGGCAACCCCTGGCACGCGTGCCAGCATTGGCACGCGGCACCGTAACCAGTGGCACACTAGGAATAAGTGGAATAAGTGTGCAAAATATTTAAATTGTATTTTCGGATCCTGAACGAGACCGCCGCCAGAGCGCGTCTCCCCGTTACCTGCAGAAGGAAGCCATGCACGCAACGCAGCCCCGCTCTCTTTATCTCCAGGTGACTTTCTGCCGCTTTCCTCCGCGGTGCAGTGCTGATCGTTTCACCACGGAGGAAAGCACTTCACTAATTGCAGTACCCATAAGGAGCTGTACAAATGCCGCAGTTTTTGCGTGACTGTGTATTTAGTTGAAAGCCCAGTGGCGATCTGCTCATTTCTCATCTAAATAATATGCTACAAAGGGGCGGACTGGCCATCTGTGTGTTGAACTTTCCTTTCGGCTCCCAGACCGTAGTCGAGGAGGGCAGCAGCAACAAGCTTCAGGTTCGATAACCCACTTTAGCTTAAATGACTGGAGAGAGGCGAGCTCTTCTTGGGAGGACGTTGCATT